TTCGGCAGCAGTCGCCGTGCTGCTAGGTCCCCAGCTGCCAGGTGACGGGAAACAGGTTCAGGTAGCCAAAGTCTTTTCGTAGTTTGCCTCAGTCCGACAATAACATGCGTGGTCCTTGATAACCATGGCGACGACAGAGGAGGTACAGTGTTCCATAACGGTTATACACTGAAGGACAGGTGGCTAAGTGTTGCAGTAGATGGTACAAACCCATGCCACTTCGTCATCTAGGCTTGGGGCCGGCAACGATGAAGTTATAAATTTAAAAACAACAAATTTATAGTAAAAAATTTTCTTCATTAATAATTATTTTGAGCAAACAATTTATTCCGGGCATACGTCAATGCAACCAGTCGAGAAGCGAAGAATAAATCTGTGACTAGCAAAAATCGGTGCCAGCATGGTATTACGGTGTAACTAAGCCCATACGAGGGAGAGGCATAGCCACGCTGTCTACTGCGAACGCATAGGAGAAATGTAATTTGCCTCGACCCATCTGATACCTGCTTATTGAATGTCATAATCAACAAAAAGCTTCATCTTTGTTGTTGTCAATTACTTTTCGACAAAATTTCATCTTGTTTAGACCTGAGGATAGGATATACGGTGCTCTGCTTCAGGGTTCACTTTAATACCCGACGAGAGACCATTCTGGCGTTAACCAAAATTCCATTGCCGTCGTCATTTTCATCATGGCTCTCGCTATGTTCGTTCTCGTCCTAGTTACCTACTGCTCAAACGGTAAACTACGTATGGCAATCCAAAGAGATTTAAACAGCGATGGAAAAATGCTGTTTTTAAAGGTTTAAACTCGACCACTTCCGTTTTAATGGGACGAGGTTTTGGGCTGAAGTTTTTAGGTACAAAGTAATAGCCTTTGTAGTATGATTGCAATTATTCTGACGTACGCACAGCCATGAAGGAACATTATGAACAAGCCTAAACCAAAATCTGTTTTAATCTTAGATTCCTTGCGTGTCAGAAAAATTAGGAGCAGTTCAACTGTATAATCCAACAGTGGTATATAACTGCCAATTTACTTAGCAGTATAGCAAGTTAATTAACAGCGGAATATCCGCTGTTTTCTGGCATCCATGTCGAAATCCAGTTTCCGTGAACGCCGTTGTAAAATCTCGAGGTTATATGCATTACCTGTCGGCTTCTCTCGTCTGCATCTGGTTGCTCGAATCTCTCGCTACCTGAAGGCGAGAAAAAATAAAATTGAGTTCCATCTGTCAGAAACAAGGCCAATGATTGTGTTTCACCCCTGCATGTGTATTAATCGACTAAATAATCCCAGAAGTTCACTGACTAATCCAACCATGACATCGTTGTCAGTTTGTAGTCAGCCACTGATAAGATTTGCGTGACGAAATTCGTAGAGGCAAAGCGGTACATCAAAAAAACTGTACACTTGTTAAATTGACATGTTAAATTGCAATCCGGTAGGCTGCGAGCTACGGGTGCAAATATTGAATCTTCAGGGTTCCGAGTGTCCATCCATCGATGCACGAGGTGGCGTTTCGGACGAACATTACGAA